CAAGATGTAGGATGTGATGAGCAGACACAGGCGTTCTTCCATTGAGGCAAGACAGAGCAATGGACCACATGAAGGCAATGGAGGCTTCTAATGAGGAACTTTGTCAGCCCAGAGTCTGACATGATTAACAAAGGACATGAAAAAGAAAGTAAGAGCAGAGAGAAATGCAGTTCATTCACCCTCCAGTGGTCTTCCTGACTCAAATGACCCTCATCTGTGCCCAGATCAAATGCTCCCACTTGTGCAGGTGACACTTAGGTTTTGTCAGGAGCAATGGCAATGGCCTAGCCTTTAAGGTAATACATAACAGCACAGCAGACAAAGAGTGGCCTGGCTATCTAAAGCTCATCCTGCATGTGGTCTAAAATAACAAAACAACAACAACAACAACAGTGGGGTTTAAGTCCAGTGTGGCTAAGAACCCTACTGGTTTTAATTTAAGCTGTTAATTGGGGGCTGATTTGCACTTATGATGTAAACTAAATGCAATTAAACTAACTGGTAGGATTAAAAATAATCAGTGCTCTGTTGACTTGAGAAAATACAAAGATTTGAACCCTGCTGGTGCACAAAAGGAAGCTATAAAGGAGTGGATATTCACATCATCTCAGCAAATTATTCAAGTTCCACATGAGCAAACAGCTCTGCCTCTCAACATTACAAAACCTTTGAATGCTGCTGATGTTTGACCAGCTGAAATATACTATGAATTTGAAAATGACCTATTTATCACAGTAAAAGCTTAACAGTGGAAACATTTAGTAGACTCACACAGAGTAAGATGTTTACTATTAATGGTATATTTATACCACATAGACACTTATCCTCCTTATCCTTAACTGTTATCCTAGTCTGCCCTGATATCTGTATTCTCTTTGATTCCGAATATAATCATGGTCAACAAAACACAACTTCTTTGCAGCTTTATCATGTTCAAATAAAGTGGCTACCTGATCATCAATTGACATCAGTAAATCCGTGCTTAACTGTAGCAGAAAGCTGCGTTTATTCTGCATTCATTGAATGGATTTGCAGTACTGCAGATGCTGACTTTACACAAAATGCATCAAAGATTTAAAAAAATGCAATAAGTAATAATAAGAGCTAACTCAGAGGAATAGATCATTTAATTTAGAATTACTTTACATTACAGTAATATATGCATCTGTTTGTACATCCGACACTGTGGAAAATATTAACAATGGTGATTATGAAAAACATGAAATTTTAATGTTGTTCCTTTGCTGTGAGGAGTTATAGCGTTTAAAAACTGTGATTGGACCATGCTCAGAGGATATGCACCCTTTTTTCCTTCAAACTGACTTACAGAGTGTCCATACTTCAAGAAACAAACAAGCCAAAGTCCCGTATTAAAGTATGATACTTCAAATATGAAACTCTAGCAAAAACGAGCTCAATAAATATGTCAGTCTAATACAGATATACAGGCAGAATGGGATGCTTTTTGACCAGGGTCCTGTTTATCTCAGTAGATTTGCAAACACCAGGTTTTGTTTTTGTTTTGCTTTTAAATCACTTAAGTAAGATGAAGTTAATACTTTTACATTCATTCAGTTTTTTCTTTTTCTTTTTTTATCATAAACAAAAAAGCACAACCTTATGTAATCCAAGATTTTAATATTCTCTTTATATATACACTGTATTTTGTTTTAACTCACCTATTTGGGATATCATAAATTATTATGGGGTATTTTTCTGTGTGGATTCAAATAAACAAACTATCTGGAAGAAGAAGAAAAAGATTCTTTTTATGTGGTTTTCCCTTTAATTATGAAGTTCAAAAGAAGCTTGTGGACTCGCTCTTTTGTTTACATAATTGCCTGCAGAAATGTTTTAGTTTGCGAGGAGTCATTAGAAAAATAATAGCAGCAGTGCACTCTATTGTTGTATCTTAAATAAGTCTGGGCTTTATTGCTCCATTTTGACTCAGACAAATGTAATGTATATTACATTCACAAACAGCTTATGGCAGTCTATTGGCTCTCATCTTTGCATCACTGGATGAACCTGTGACCATGGTTCTCAACCTGTAAAATCTGTGGCCCGTTTTGGGGGAGGGGGTTATGTTTTGTTGTTTGATAACCGTGTCTATGGATTTCTAAATCCTTCACTCTCTATGTGTGGTACCTCCTGAGGGAGAGAAGTATCTGCACAATACACCTGCCCCCTTCGCCCGGGGTGAAGTAGCCTTGTCCAGCCGGAGTGGGGCGTGTCTCCGTGGGCGGCCTCTTCAGTGCGGTGCCGCTGCCACTGCTGCTGATGCCGCTGTCTTCTGTTCCAGTGGATGCAGGTAGAGGTGCGTCAAAAGGCCCTTAAAGCAACCACAAGAAACAGGGTGCCGGGACCTTCACAATAAAAGTCACAACGGAACACACCAGCGTGGATGTTTTAATTTGGAAAGAAGAATCTAAAGCGGAGTTTCCTGCCTTCTGGCTAGCTTGACAGCAGGGATGCAGGTGGAGCGGCTCGGCCAGGACCGTTCACATCTGTCTTGAAGGAGAGAGGGGGGGAAGAAAACCTGCGTTCGGGTCTGTTCAACGCTCTGGATAAAAATTGAACAGAAAATAAGCGTAGAAGCCTGAACTACGTCCAGACTATACCCAGGGATATTTACAAACCTCCCCAAGTCTGGAGAATAATATCGAAGGGATTGCCGCAAAATACAAGTAAGGACTTTTTTTTTTTCTTCTTTGCTTTGGCGACTGTATGGCTCTGTGTGCGTGTGTGTCACTCCGTGTGTGCGTGTGCGCTCTTTTCCCCCTTCTTTCTTTTGGCCATAAGGATTTGTCCTTCTGTGGAAAGGCTTTTCAATTGGTGACAGGTGATGTCAGGAAAAAATAAAAGCTACACTAAAACACTCCTCGCGTTGTGCTGTTGAGATGTAGCGAGCAGCAAATGATGCGTAATGGGTCAATATTTGGAGGAGATTTGGGAGGCGAGTGGATTTGAGGTCTGCTGTTTGTTTTCTGCGGCTCTTGGAGCAGACACGCTGAATTTTTGCGTGCGGGGGGGGAATGATGGACATATGTGGTTTGAAGCCACGCGTGACAGCAATGTCAGAGTGTGGGAATTGAGTAAAATAAAATAAAATAAAAGGAACAAAAATCTTTCTATTTCACCGAGGTGACGGTTAATTGGAAAGTCAGTTTTTGTGCCTCGGCGAGCTGTGGATGTATTTACGCAATGTGCAGATGACTTGAGAGATTATTCTTACAGGTTCCGACCTTCGTTAAACCCGAGGTCTTGTTTCAAATTAGCTGCTCGGCTTTAGAACAGAATATATGGTTGAATTATAGCGAGTGTACGCTGTGGGATAATACTTCTCGCCTATTTCGTTACACACACGCACACAGCCTGATTAATTGTACGCACTTCTTCAGTCCAAAAAGAGCGAATTTTTCTGGAGTCCTCTCACTGAGTAGTCGGTTTCTGATTTTGGCTTTACCCGCTGGGATTATTCATCCAGCAACATTTTACTTCAAATTATTAGAAATGCAAGGATAAAAGGAAAAGATGCCCCGGACAATTGTGCCCCCCGAGGGTATACCCTTAAATGAACAGATGCGGGGTTTTTTATATGTTAAACGAGAGAAATCCTATGATCTGTAACTCTCCTCAGTAAAGCGACCTCAGAAGTGTTTCTCCAAGTAAAACTGATACGCATAACGAGTTGGAAATGCACGCACGCAGGTGCGTGGGTATTTTGGACTCTATATTGCGCCGAGTATTGTACTGCGACCGTATGAGACTCCTGCGCCACCGTGTCGCCAAACGCCCACTGGGGTGCTTAACGGTGTCTCCGCACAAAATCTCCGAGCCAAAAGAGTAATTAACAAGTGCTACAGATCGGTAAAATCCCCGATTATCAGATTCAAGGCTGGGTTGTTGTTAGTTGTACTGGCCAATATCTGAACTGAGCACTGAGCTCTGTCTTGTTCGGCGGCGCAGAGGCAGACGCGGACGCTGATGGGAAGGACCAGAGAGAGGAAAGCAGACGCCACATGATGAACGTCTGTGTGAACGCCAGCGGGAAGCTGACCTGCTCGGTGCTTTTAAAATGAAGCCCAGTGAACTTTTAATAAATACGAGAGCCTTAGCTCGCCGTTATGTTTATTGCTTGCATCTCGATTACTAATAAAAAACGAGTCATATTTCATTTTCCTTTTCTTTTTTGGGGGGGCAAATGATGTTGCCTTTTTATGACCTTGCGAAATATCAGTGGCAAAGAAGATGCTCACTGTTTATCAAAGTTGGAAGAACACAGAAAGAAGCGTCCCAGCTCTTACTCACTGACCTGGATTCATTAGTTGAAGGAGTAAATGAAACCCTCGAAGGGGGGGGGGCACACATGAGGTGGTATTTCTTATGAAGCCACCCATGTTCTTAATGCAGATGAAGCCCTGCAGGAGAGATCCACTAAGGTGATATGACTCACTTCCTGGTTACTTAGTCAAGCTAGAAATGTTCCGGCTTACAAATGTAGGACACAAGTCCACACTGCAGAAGTCCAGCGGCACTTAACTCACAGGTCAAAATCTTTTTTTTTTTTGTTCCATCTTTTGTCATTATTGTTGTTATTCAATCAACACTGACAGCTCACGTCTTTCCCCAGAAATACTTGTACTCTGGCAGTTTCTTGTTAAATCCCACTTGGTAAAAAGAAACACCATCAACACAGTCTAATGACTCCAGCTTTGACAATGGCTTTAGAAATACCTAAATAGCTTCTCCATTTTATAACAATACACACTGAGCAGACACCTTCGACAGAAAATGGGCCCGTATACAGTTCCACTTTTGTTCTCGGAGCTTTCAGTGCACTTCATGAAGGGTGCTTAACATTGCTTTTGTGGGTTGAGATGACTTATAATAATTGCAAATTCCTCTGCAATTTGAATAATTTTTCCAGACCTTTTCACTGTTTGTTATTCAGTGAGTGCAAAAAGTGGATTTGAGGTCCTGTGCTTCTCTTTGTTTTCGCTCATCCCTCTGTCATGAGGTTTCCACCAACTTTCCTGAATACAAATCTCCAGCTTTTCAACTCAAATGCCATCATTCTGGGTCAACACACAGCCATCAGCCTGTTTTTATGCTGGAAAAATAACCTTTGCAAAAGTATAATGTGACTTATTGAGAAGACTCTACTCTATGTAGGAGAAATCTGTAGACAAAGATCAGCAGAGCTATTATCAGGGAATAGATTTAATAAAGGACCTTGACTTAATGTGATTAATGAGAGATTCAGTCTTAGGTTGGGTGTATTTTAGCTCAAATCCAGCCCTTGAAGCAGCTGGCTGAGGCATCACTCAGAATTTCTATATACTCATAGGTCAGTGTTTTGAGCAGCTGACATCTTTTCTCTGACAGCGAGACAGAGCTGAGAAACTGTCTTCTACCTCATCTCCCACTAAACACGGGTACTCATGCTCTCCCCACGCCTCCCCTCTGCCCTGCCTGGCCCCTCCGGTTTACCGCCGAAGAGACCAAGAGAGTAAAATTGGAAGAGAAGAGAATCGGAATGGGTAATCTGCCTGTAATCCCACAAAGAGAGCAATCTGCCTCATTAACTCACTATTCTGCTGCTTGCCGCGTGACTCTCATCCATCTTTCTGTCCATTTGTCCACCATCCGCCCCCAGTGCAGGACAAAAGAGATGCTATAGAGGTGCACAGGGGAGCTAGAAACAAGGTAGAAACTTGCGCTTCTGTTAGAAAAGAAGGAGGAAATGCAACAGAAATATGAAAAGAAAGATTTCTCTCTCCCTCATGCCCTCCATTTTAGCTGTGGGGACCACGATAAGCATGGTTGCTATGTGTTCTGCCTATAATGTTAGCTCCTTTGATAAAGTCTGTAGAAGAAGAGCCTGTGAGGCGAAGACAGAGTGAAGCACCTTTCATTGTCTCACGGTGATTGCATGAATGGATCTGCAAGTGAAAGAGATGGAGCAGCACACAGACTGAAGCGAGAGGATACAGTATGGCCTATCGATCCTATCAGTTTACGCCCTTGCATCCTGTGTGGCCTTGCCGGTAGGATATCCGTGCCTAGATTGAGACTAATCTTAGTCAGCCTGGCAGGACATTTATTATTGAGCATATCAAAGCTAATACATCTCTCAGAGCGCTGTCAGATGCAGAGGGGGGAAAAAAATTGTCATGTGATGGAGCCGTTTGAGTTCAAAGCTCTGTGTGGTTTTTAACAAGTTGCCTTTGGTCTTTCTAAATGAGAAGGAGTTTTATGTTGAAAAAAGCTGGAACTGTGCCATATACCCTACTGTATTCCACAAAGATTGGGTCATGAATTCATTCAGCAGAGCTTGCAAGTGCATTTGGATCTTGGATGATGGTTTTCTCTTCCCCCCTCACTCCCCCCCCCCACGAATTGTTCAAAGTAATGTAATCCCAGACCTCTTTTTTCATATCCGAGTAACCCCCGAAAAGCAGGCTCTTCCGATGAATTAATGAAGATGTTCTTTGTAGCCTCCAGTGAGAGCTTGATGTGAAATATTTGCATTACCATATTGCTCGCCTTTTAACAGCCTCAACCAAGATCCTCGGTGCTACAGTTTAGCTGGAATTTATTAAAGAGAATAGTGAAGCATCAGTAACACGCAAATAAAACGTCTCTTCCCCGTCTCTTCTTTGGGCTCGCCTCAAACGTCGTCTGCACCAGGTGCTGCCCAGTCTAGACCTAAAAGAACTCTTTGCCTGAGAATTTATGTTTCAGGTGTGGGACACATCTTTTTAGCACCTGCAGGCGAGCTAGTTAACCTAAATTACTCGAGCAGCACAAAGGTAGCTGCTGTTTCTCAGGTTTAAAAATATCATGGCTGCTTCCTTATTTGGAAAGGCATGTTGTGGGGAAAAACATGCTGATGTAACCTCACTGATGATCAACAACCTAAAGTTAGCCCTTCCTTTCAGAGTCAGCCAATGATTGGAGGTCTTTGGCGCTGCGGAACCTGTAAGACCAATAGAACAGTTCTGAGCCTTTTATCTAAACAGCAAGGCTGCCTCCATCTTTCAGCTATACCCATCTATTCCAGGGTATGCTAACACGAAGCTAGCCGTGAAAGGATCCTATTTCAAAGTGGAGCAGGTTGCGTAACAGGGATATGGGACACAAAAAACCCCACATAAGAGTTTTATGCTCATAATTGAGGAGTGGGTGTAAGTAACTAATCCTTATGCTGTGGGATATCAGTCATCCACACTATTGCTAGTTCTCTATAATCATGCAGTTTATTTGCATAACACTTGCACATCGAAGCACACAATAGCATTTACTTCCAAAGATAAGTGCTGGACTTTAACATTAACCACTTACACACAATTTAGACATCAAAGCACAGTATGAGGCTATTTTCTTTAACCATTTTTAAAGATGGAGGGAGCGTGGAGAGTTCAGTCATCACTTATCAATACGAATGCGTCTGCGCCGACCCAAACACAGATCTATATTTCCATTCATTCATGAGTTGGCCGCTGAGTTCCAGCGAGCCAGGTTTCCTCAGACCACGTTTTTAACCGAGCTTGTCTCTGTGCATGTTTTTCTTTCTTTTCCGTACACCTCCTCCCACCTTCTTTCGTGAATCTCAACAGACCAACTTGAATAACTGTAAGTACTGCTCTCAGTCAAGTGCCCTTAAGAGAATTGTTGTTCTCCC